CTTCAATCGAAACCTGAGTTTGAAACCTAGGTTCAAATCACGGCATTAACGATGCGGAACTAACGACATGTACGTTTCCGAAATCTGTGTTTGGAACCTTACTCTACACTAAAGACTAGGTTTTTGCTTTCCACATAAACGAACTGGAGGTTGAAATTCAACTTGAAATGCGATTTCCAGGTGCGGGCGAACGGCAACATATGGTGGATTTGTTATCACGACGTTCGTAAACGAATGATGCTTATCTCCCGATTTTGTCGCAATTTTGCCATTCATCAACATATTTTAACATCATAATTTCATTAATTGTTGTTTAAGCGCTTTTTTTTTAATTCCTAAAGTCGAATGTGGCTTATTTATCCTGATTTAGTAAATTTTTAAAGATGAACATATAATTATTTAACATCCCCTATCATTTTCCCGACTATTCCTCAGAAAGTCAAGAAAGACTTTCCTAGTGAAGGTGAAGCCTCGCATGTATTATGGAACATACACGGGATAAAATACTAATAATATCGTAATTGAATCAATTCATGGCAGATAAATTTAATATAGCTTGTGAAAAAAAGGGACAAACATGAAATTCAAGTTCAATCGAAAATATGATGCGCATGATCAGTGCAAAAAGAGGAAAGTTGGATTTCCCGCGAAAGTTGGGTTACAGCGCCCGCATAAACCCAACGGAGGAAACTCGGGTTTCGAGCCTCGCATAAACGTAGCCAGTGCCCACGGTAACATGCACTCATGCAGATTCTATAGGTACCCACTTTTATGGGTCTAGTGCCGCAATCACATGCTGAATGTGGGAGCTGAATGTGGCTTGAATGTGGAAGTTATCGGCCCGATGCCTGAATTTTGCGCTTGACGCGCAAAATTCAGCAACGATTATCAGCGACCATCGGATAATGTCGGATTTGTCTGAACTATTCGAATAGATTGGATAAAAATAACTCGAATGGGCCTGTTGCATGCAAGAGATGCAGCCGCGCGAATAGACTTTATAAAGGTTAAATGACACGAAAATTACGATGGTCACATTAAAAAAGTCTGAAATACACTCCTTACTGCGCAAATTGCGTTGTTAGGAGCGCGCTTTTTCAAATTTCCCGCGTCTGGGGGCAGTTTTCTAATCACCGGAAACGAGCAAACGGCGGGCTCGGTGATTTCCGGAAGATGCCGAGTCGTCGTTGTTGTTGTTGTTGTTGTTATTTTTTCCTTCAGTTTGTTCACAAACCTAACGTGATCTCTTACAGTGGTCCATATACGCTTTATGCGGTCACCAAATCGATCAACTTTTAAATTATCCAACGCAATCCTTCTACATTTCATTTCACGATATCACGAGCTCCGATTTTTAGGTTATGTTGTCAGTTTTAGTTGACCGGAAATAGCCGCGAGTTGCCGTTAATTGTTTCCGTAAGAAAACTGCCCCCCGACGCGGGAAATTTGAAAAAGCGCGCTTCTAACAACGCAAATTGCGCAGTAAGGAGTGTATTTCAGACTTTTTTAATGTGACCATCGTAATTTTCATGTCATTTAACCTCTAAAAAGCCTATTCGCATGGCTGTATCTCTTGCATGCAACAGGCCCTTTAGTGAAATTTCCGCTGTTGAGCGCTGACTGTTGATTACCACATTCAGTTGCCGAATTCAGCGTGTGATTGTGGCATATGGTTTACCTATAGTCCCTTTATACTGAGAGTTAAGATAACACCCCCTCATGGAGTCACAAACGGGAATTTCTTTTTTTTTTTATTCTTTATTAAATACTGGCAGGAAACCCGTGCTACGCACAGGATATCCCCCACCATCAGCAATCTCTGTGATTAGTGATCAGTTACTAATTGTGTTTCTGAATTATTATTTACTATTTCAAAATTGGCGAGACGCACTGGTTTGATTAAAAAGTAGAGATTAGTAGTATGCTGCTATTTTCATCTGTTCTGCAATATGCTCATATGATAATTATAATAATCAAAAATACCCAATCAAAAGTTGGTTATTTTCATGAAGATTTGTTACTTTTGTCAGTCCAATGTTTAATTGAAGTTAGCTGGTGAGTTTCAGCCGCGAAAATTACGGGATTTAACCAGCGGATTCGTTTAATTCACAGCAATGGCGGGTTTGTCATCTACATCGCGGAGATAACTTGATTTTTCCAGGGATTTTCTAAAACAAATTAGAAATTACACAATATAATCACCACGGTATCACGGCAAATACTTCGTGTTCCTAGCGAATTTTTAAGATCATTACAATTGCGCGTTATTCACATCAATATTGTGGCATACACGCGAATTTCTGACTCAATTAAGACTACGTAAATGTGCGCATAAAACTCATAAACATCTGTTACTTGAGATGGGCGAAAACGTATGATTTTCCTTAAATTTTGTATGATACGTACCCACTCCGGAGTTCAAATAGTTGCTCGCTTCAATTCTGCTTGTTAAAAGTGACGAATTGGAAGAATCCAATCTCAATTTCACGACAACTATGGGATGTAATCATCGGTTTCCCTATATAAGATTTAATGTTTTGAAATTTAAAAAGAAAAAGAAAGAAAAAAAGAGCATTAGCGATGATCTAAAATTTTGCAAGTAAGAGTCGTGTGTTTCGGTTAAACTATGATAGAAACAGAAAGCAGGTGAAGAATATCGAAGCGATGTTCTAGTTTTGCTCCGCTGTCAGCACCGCGTCTGCAGGCACAGTGTGACCGAGCCGTCATCACAGTATAGAACGCCTTCAATCTAGCAAGCGGCAATGTGGACATCTTCCGTGGTGAAATAGTTGTATCAAGAGCGCCTTCCACGATCGGAGTCAAATATTGATGAAATGCGCGCGAAACCCCCGCTTCTCCTCCGATTGAAACGTTGCACACCGTCTTTATGTTCCATTTTGATTTATTTATTTTATTTTTGAAGCCAAGCAACAGCTTTTCTCAAAATTTCCCGAGAATTTGCCTTAATCATTTCAAAACAGAAGATAAAAGTAACAAAAAGTAACCCCAGACGACGTGAAGACTATAAATCACAACAATTTTTTTACTTTCGAACTTGAGCAGTTAAATTTTGTCAAAAAACAAAACAAAACAAAACGAAAGGTTCCGCGGAGCACATTTTTCACTAATCTTGCAAAGAAAACGGAAGAAAACTCGAACCAATGCGCGAACCAATCGCGAAAATCGCGAACCAATGCCATAGAATGAAGAGACTACGTCAGTCTCTTTATTCTATGCCAATGCATAGACAAATTTTCCAGATTTTCATATCCCTGAGAGCGAGTAGCCCGGCAACGGATGCACGAGTCGGAGCTCGCAACAATCATGGCGCGGCGTTTCCAACAGCGCGACGCCGAACTCGTCCCATCTTCCTCGCAATCGTTGGACGCCAAACTCCTTCCATCTTCCTCGCACCCGTTGCGCGTACCAGAAGAACACACGTAAAATTTATCAGCTGTCTTTCAGCGCGAAACGCGGAAATCGATCCATCTCGCTCGCACTCTCTCTCGCACCCGTTGTCCTTACGGAAAAATCGATCCACGCGGACCACGATATCCCGCGAACCGGCGGGCGGATCGCGAAATCCTCCCTTATTCGGCGCCTCGGGGTAGAGAGGGATCCCAGTGCGGAATCTCAGGGTCATACGGCCTCCCGGTCACGAGATCCGCCGATACGTGAGTGAGTGAGTGAGTGAGTCAATCAACGTGAAGTCTGCTTTATTAATATAGATATAGAGAACTACAAAATACATGCATTAACCCTATTTGTTATAACCTATGAACTATTTACAATAGTATGAAGGGTGGGCCGGAGTACCGGCAACCGGCCCTAGCTGTCTGCGAAATGAACAGAGACTGTACATTAGGATTTAAGATAATTGTTACAATATATTAAGCATACAATTACATATTACAATACAATATAAAATAGTAAATATATTTACAAAAAGAGTAAGTAGAGACCCCCTAGGTACCCCGACAAACGGGAATAAAGATTACAGAAATTGAACGTTTTTTTGTAACCTTTGATCGGCCCATTCTCAAATTCTTTTCTCCGTCCCTTCTCTCATTCCGTTTGCTCCTTGCCGAGCCCATAATTCTCTGGTCCATTCCAGATTATAATCTTTGCAATCGGTGAAAATGTAATCTTTATTCCCTGTTGTGACGCTGTGAAGGCCTAAAATACGTGAACCAATCAGAAATGGATTCACATTGTCTTGACTCTCAGTATAAAGGGATTCTAGGTTTACCGTTTTCGTGGAATTTGAATGACTGTCTCAGTCTATGTCTCAGGATCCTGAATTCAAATTTTCCCGCTAAATGGCCCTGTGTTAAGAAAATCTTCGTCGTTTTGGGCCTTAAGTCCTTATAGCTTTTTGAAAACTCAATGTATCTTAAAAAGCTCTTAATCAGTCAATAGCCTCAATGTAGCTGCATCCGGAGACACCAAGATTCCCCAACATCTCCCCCCCCCCTCCTTTCAATTTCGCCAAATGAACGGCACCTGAAAAATCAGGAGCAGACAGGGCTTAGGCAAATGCTCCCTTTGGGAAGAATTATAGCATGTTAGCTTACGATTAAATATAACAGCAGATTTTTCACACCACTAGAAATTTGGGCACTGAAAATTTTTAAAAATTTCAAGTATTGAAATGTTCATATTCAAGTTCATATCCATGTAAAATGTGAATTGTGATTGAATCACTCCAAAATCCAGTCTTTAGGTATTTGCTGGCATCAATTCCTCACTTGACATAAAGGAGGAAAAATTATGTAGCCAATAATACTTCTGAAAGTAACGGCCCTGCTACTTGTGTCAGGGCCGTTGCTTTCAGAAGTATTAAGCCATTTAGAGAGGCACCATAAAATTAGTTAAGGGCTTTTCATCCAATCATCAGTCCTGGTTATCTAAAAATTTAAGCTGAATCAGTGCGGTAGACGTTGTTATTCTGCTTCTCTTATGAAAACCTTTGTTTATTCATATAGTTTTATACTTTCTAGTTGGTGGAGTCTGAAAATAGTGCTGATGCCATTCGTGAGGAAATTTTGCGGCTACGTGAAAGAAATGATGCTGACATTGATAGGATGAAAACAAGGGAGCAAGAACTGCTGCTTCGACTTGAGGATAGTAGAACGAAAGAAAGGAAGTTAGAGGATCAAAAACATAATTTGGAAGTATGTTTGGCAGATGCAACTCAACAGATTCAAGAATTAAAGGTACATACTTCCCATGACTCTATTAAAAAATAGTCTGCGCCATCTCTCTTGTCAAGCAATGTGAAACTACAATTGGTATCAGCCTGAGTTATTTTAAGGTCTGAGTTTTCTTACTGCACAGGTGGAACTGTAATGAATTTCTACGTGACATTACACATATATTGGAAAGCAGAGTCACCTAAATTCAACGATAGAATTTTAATATCACCAGCAAAAAGTTTAAGGTGATTCGATGGACGCCATATTTTGTGTCAGAACGGCATGCGATATATCGCATCAATTGGTTCCAGTTTTTCAGCTACTCGTCATTTTTCTCGAATTTTGAGATCGCAATTCTGCTGTCAGGAGACTAAAGAACTCACTTACCAATTTCAACAAAGAAATTCAACGTAATAAAGGCGTGGTTTTTTCAGAGAGAAAACATCGCATTCGAGTGCAGTTTCGATATCGGTATCGAATGCGATGTTTTCTCTCTGAAAAAACCACGCCTTTGTTACGTTGAATTTCGTTGTGAAAATTGGTAAGTGAGTGCTTTAGTCTCCTGACATCAGAATTGTAATCTCAAAATTGGAGAAAAATGACGAGTAGCTGAAAAAATGGAACCAATTGATGCGATATATCGCATGCCGTTCTGACACAAAATATGGCATCCTTCGAATCACCTTAAGAGAAATCAATGCACAGATAAGTTACAACTTATTTTTACAGTTTTGGTTTTTGTTTTTTTCAGGCACGTTTAGGTGGGGCTGAAGGTCGAGTTAGAGCTTTGGAAGCTCAATTGATACAAGTGGAAAATGCTAAGAAAGAAACGGAGCAGAAACTGTGTAGTATCGGTTCAACCCTGAGACGAATTGCAGGAATTCAAATTGATGGCTCTGTCCATCAGCAGGCAAAACCTACCAGGCGTTGGAGCCCAGTCAGAGGTAAATTCCCTTCTCTTGTTTTTCTCAAAAAAATGGCATTATTCTTCTTTTCTTAAACGATCTACAAACGCATTTTTTCTGTACCTGATGTAGGTAAACGGCAATAACCATCCGCTGCCAAAACAGCCATCTGTAGCCGGCAACAGAATGTTCAGTATCCGGCGATTGGAAATACGCGTGTGCACGAGGGGCAATTAAAAAAGTAATTTTTTTCGAAAATCATCATAAGCGCCAGTGAATCTATCCTGGTTTCTTTTCTAAAAATATTTTTCTTCAATTTTTTCTCAATAATTCTTACTTTTCCAAAATTTGATTTGATTTTGATTTTTTTTTATTTGAATCGGCCATATACACTGTTAAAAATCGTTGATTCCGTCCAACGGAAAATCCGGATTGAGAATGAACAGGGGAGTGAGATTCAGCGCATAGGTGCTGAGATGTGTCGCATGAGTGCGCAAAGCACTCAGCACCGGAGCTTCAGCTGGGCCCTAAGTCACGCGCACCTAGGCTATCTCTCTCTCGCACTAGCGCTCTATACTGTCTCTTCTTCCCTTTAGGCCTACCAATCCAATGATGAAAATGAAAAATTTAAAGTTTAAATAAGTAAAATAATAGAATAGAATAGTGGAAATAATAGAGTGCAGAAATAATAGAATTACAGAGACAACAGAAGAGAAATCAAATAAAGTAAATTAAATAGTATATGATTAAATGAAGTCAAAGACTAAATTGAAGTAAAAAATTAGAGGGAGCAAGGAGATGAAGTAAAAAAATGAGGTGAAGAAAAAATAAAGTATAAGGGAAGAAACTAAATGAGGTTAAAGAATAGAATGAATTTAAAAAGTAAACATGATGAAGTATTAAAATAAATTACAGTAAAAAATAAAACAAAATAAGGGAATAAGAAGTAAATATTTTAAGAAAAAAAATGAAGTACTTGAAAAAATAAAATAGAGTGAAGAAAAAAATAGAGTCAGCAAGGAAATAAATCAAGTAAAACGATAAAATAAATTTAAAAAATATAGTAAAGTAAAAAGTAAAATAAATACACGGACAAATCCAGGCAGATTGAAAATATCCTAGTTTCCCGTTCAAATCGACGTTAAATATCGGTTTTGCGTCACATGAAGGCAGCATCTGGTGTAGCTTAATGGTTAGGGTCTTCGGTTTGTGTTAGGCAGGTCCCGGGTTCAATCCCTAAGGTAGGTAAAAATGTTTAATCTTCAAAATCGGGTAAATTACGTCCCAGTAGTTTCATTATTATTATTTTTCATGGTTTCAAAATTTATTTCCACAATTAACCCTTTTCCACCATCCCCTAGCTGCGAACCCCTAAATTTTCTATAGCCGGCGATTGAGAATTCCTACAGCCAGCCATAGGAATTCTCAATCGCCGGCTATAGAAAATTCCTATCGCCAAAAGGCCATGTTTCATGTTGCTGTCCGTTTCTATGGCTACCCAAGTAGCAAAGTAAAAATTTTTTCTAGAAAAAAAGTGTTAAGAAAACTTCTAGAAAAAACGAAGAAAATGAGAGCTATCCAGAAGATAGAAAGAAAAACATTGCGAGTCAAAAGTCTGACCAAAAAAAAAAATATATCTATTTCATAGGTCTACTTTCTGTTAACTTCCCATTTGGAAGAAAGTTAGAAAATTTATTGGAAGTAGAATTATTTTCTAGCCAATTTCTTAATGTTTTCTTTTAAGAAAATGCAAGAAAAACAAGCAGTGAACTCCAACACAATGTGTTGATAAGGCGCGTCATTAACTCGCACATATCAACCCCTCTAGTTTTCATTTACAGATATTTCAAAATCGGCAAGCAGCACAACAGGAGAATTCACGATCCAACACTGCAAGGTCAACGACGCACCTTTACGAGACCGTGTATTGTGAATGTAGAAAGCTATTCGAACGAATTTAAGTTTTTTGATCTACCTCAAGCAAAATCTTATCAGATTCTTGAAGAAAAGTGCTACGGAATAATTTAAGCGAAGAAAGGAAAAATTCTGTCAAACTCCCAGAAGATAAAGTCGATTTTAAGATATTTTGGGGCTAAAATACCCAAATCATCGGTAGTAAAAACCCCGTTATATTATTGAAAAGAAATTGACTCGATGTAAATGCAATTTCATTACATATGTCTTGATTTTGTTATTTCAAGCGTCTTTCCATGCAAAGAAGTTCAACCATGTCCATGCTTTATTCATTCATGAATTGAAAGTAAGCAATCTACATCCCGAAGTCTACCGATTTGCCGTAAAAAATTGCAGAAACTTGATATACCAGGTCGACGCTGCCACTCGTTGAATTTACCGACCAATTTCGTGAGTGCAAATATGTAAAAGTCAATATGCTATAGTCATTTTGGGTACATTTATATTTCATGAAACAATAATATGTAAGTAATTTCAATCCCGAAAATTCTGAGGTCAATTATATTTAATTGTAATTTAAACCCATATTTCTTTTTTTCCCTTCAATTAATTTTTTGTACGGAGAAATCGAGGTTTCGTTGATTTCTTCGGATTTCGAATACCGTAACTTCTCTTCTATTCGGCCGATTTTTATGAATGAGGTCTCTTTTTATTCGTGTTTTGACGGAGAGTAAGGAAAAAATTGCTAAATACAATCGAAACAATTTTTTTTGAAAATTGGATGAATCCTAGCGTGACGGTGAAATGGTTAATCAAGCGTAAATAATTGAGCGAGGGGCTGAGGATCCCGGCCGCCTGGCGACCCTCATCAGCTATTGTTCGTCGGGACGCCGACGCAGTGATCAGGAGCGTGGGGAAGAGAGGGCTAAGTGGATTCCTGTATGAGCCACGTTTAGCAAATGGTCTAATGAGTCTCGAGGCACATCACAGATTGCACTTACGGCTGCCCTGGCTGGCCCTGGCTATCAGAGCAGTGGTACCAAATTTTGAAAAGCATAACAGGGGTGCGGAGATCTGTCAAAGCAACGTTTTGAACAAAACGGAGGAGTAAAATTCTCATTCGAAGAGTGCCGAACTGGTCAGCCATTCTCGAATCAGTTCGCTTGCTTCTGCTTATATATGCATATTTTAAATCAGCGCTGAGCATTTTTAGGCTTTTTTTAAAAAAACCAAGTAACGTAGACTCTTGGTATTCATTGCACATAAACTAGAAAGCCCCAGAATGAGAAAAAACTTTAAATTATAATTATTGACGGATAAGTAAACTTTTTACACGTACACGCTTTGGAAAATCTCAGAAGTTCGCGGTAGTCACTTTCCGGCAAGGAACTAAGAGACTCGGTTATTGTATCGAGTGGGGGGTCGAAACGATCGCAAAGGCGGTATACTACGTATACGCGCCAAAATGTATTTTCTTTCTATTTTCTTGTGTCTATTTTCTAGATCTACTTTATACCTATTTTCTTTCAAGAAAATTGTTCTATCTAGAAAGTAGACATTTTCTTGTTGAGCGCCACCTAGAAAGTAGATGACAATGCTACTTGGGTACCGTCTCAAGTGCTCAAGTGCTGCGGTGTCGCCTGCGGAAATATCGCAACTGCATACTTTTTTTTCTCTGTCATTTTATTTTTCCGTTATTCATCTGCAATTTCGGACAGGAGGATTTTTTTTTTTTTTTACGTTACCTCTTGACAAACCCAACGAATCTTTCCCCTCTCGGTAGATAACGCGAATATACGACATTTTTAAGCCAATATTCTCATCTCATTATATTCCCTTTCTTTGCATGGAAAGACGCTTACTACCGATGATTTGGGTATTTTAGCCCCAAAATATCTTAAAATCGACTTTATCTTCTGGGAGTTTGACAGAATTTTTCCTTTCTTCGCTTAAATTATTCCGTAGCACTTTTCTTCAAGAATCTGATAAGATTTTGCTTGAGGTAGATCAAAAAACTTAAATTCGTTCGAATAGCTTTCTACATTCACAATACACGGTCTCGTAAAGGTGCGTCGTTGACCTTGCAGTGTTGGATCGTGAATTCTCCTGTTGTGCTGCTTGCCGATTTTGAAATATCTGTAAATGAAAACTAGAGGGGTTGATATGTGCGAGTTAATGACGCGCCTTATCAACACATTGTGTTGGAGTTCACTGCTTGTTCATTTGTGAATTGAAATTAAGCAATCCACATCCCAAAACTCCCCTCATTTGTTGTAAAAAATTGCAGAAACTCGATATACCAACCCATTGATATATCCACTCGTTGACTTTAAAAATCAATTTCATGAGTTCAAATAGTGAAAATCACCATACTTTGGTCATTTTCTCTTGAAATTAATTAAAATTGCCAATTCCAAATGACCATCAATTTCTCGAATAAAATCGAAAAATGTTGACTTCCGGACGTGAAAATTAAACTCAACGTGTAAAAATACTTATGTTTTGAAATGTTGAACAGAGAACATGTGTGAACATGTCCGCGGCAACATCAGTTCATCAAGAAAACGGCAAAAATTGGATGAAACTTTAGCTCCTTTGCACCCCTCCTCTGGTGCTTAACTCGGAAGCGGTTTTCTGTACTCATCTTAAAATTTTTCTCAGAGCTTTGGGTCATTATGAGCTTCCATTTATACCTCGGTTCGATAGCCGAATCGGCTGCCCAAAAAGCATGACATTTTTCGGAGGGTTCTATGAGAAATTCGTCCAATTATCGGCTCTCAGGAAATTACCACATGGCTAAAACCGGTAGTGTAAGTGTTTGAGTGCTAAAAATAATCGTATTTAAGAAACTCCGGCATTATAACTATCGTGTTAATTTCTTTTTAATGATAAATAACGAGATTAACTACCGGTAAAAATGCCGACCAGCCGGTCCAGCTCGAAATCACCAATAATTCGGTCTTTTTGCCAACTGAGTTTAATATCTTTCACATAAACTCAGATTACATTTAAATTATTGAAATAATTTACCAGGAAAAGACAATTTACGAAGACCAAAGAAACTTTCAGTCCTTGCAATCTTCTATATTTATCTAACCAAATTAAATTATATGAATGAAGATAAACAACAGGCACAATATACAAATTCTGAGAAGATCAT